TGTTGCCAATGTCATCGATGATCACAAGATGAAGATGAATGCAATGCGCTTGAAGATGGATGCAATGCACCTGAAGGTTGAGAAGATTAGAAAATATGCCATTGATAATGAGGCTTGGTATCATTATGCCGTTGGATCAATTGTTACCTTAGTTGCGATCTTCATCATATTTGTTGTGATGAGAGTAAGTTTTCTCTAATGTTTTGCTTTACAAATGGATACTTAGCTTATTTTCCTCCTAAATGGCATAATTACCTAAGTTAGATAAATAAAATGAGCTATACTTAGCTTATTCAATTCATTTATGACATACTTAGCATACTTAGGTCAAAAATGGCATGATAATCTTTGTTATCTCCAAAATGATATAGACTTAGTTTATTTTCCTTGAAAATGACATAATAACCTTACTAAGATCCAAAATGACCTATTTACCTAGCTTAGCTCTAAAATGACCTACACTTAGCATTTTTACCTAGCTTAGCAATAAAATGGCATTTTTACTTACCTTAGTTAGAAGAAGAAGAAGATAAAGAAGAGAAGAGGAGAAAAAAAAGAGAAAAAAAAAATCTTCTTCTAACTAGTCTTCTTCTTCTTCTAACTTTCATCTTTCCCAATTTGCAGATTTGCTTTACATGAGGAAGCTTTGATTCATGGAGTGTACTATTCTTTTGGTGCTTCCTTGTTGTTTATGAAAACTTGTTTGGATATGTATGTTTATATGGATATGTTGTTGGAAACTTGTTTGTGGTTATGTATATATGGATATGTTGGACTTTGTTGAACTATGTTGTTGGATTTGATGAAATATGTTGTTGGACATGCTGTTGGATATGTTGGATAGATATGTATGCATGTATATCTGTGTTTGAAACCATGTCTAATTAATTAGATTTAAATAAAAACAGGGGATGTATAACCTCTTTGCCGTCCGCTAGCTGACGGCAAAGAGCTTTGCCGTCCGCTAGCTGACGACAAAGAGGACACGTGGCAGTCACCTGTGCAAACTGGGAACATCGGCTGCCTATTTGGTCATTTTGCCGTCTGCAAGCGGACGCCAAAGTGACCAAATATATGCCATCTGCTGGCAGACGGTCTAGCTGGCCATGTGGTAGCTTCCCAGTGCTGCCCTAGCTAAGCTCTTTGATGTCTATCAGCGGACGACAAAGAGCGCCGTTAACCCCCTAACGGCTCTCACCTCACACCACTGTCGTCCGTCATCTTTGCCATCTACTGGCCTCGGATGGCGATGGCATAATCCTTTGCCATCTGTTTCTGCAAAGCAGACGGCAAAGAAGGCCTTTGCTGGCACGTGTTCAGCCGGACATTTTGCCATCCGCTGGCTGACGGCAAAGGAGTTTGCCGTCCGGGATCTGTGCCTTTGTCGTCCGCCATGCGGACGGCAAAGAAGCTGATTCCAGTAGTGCCCCTCAAAGGATTATGTTCCATAGTAACAAGTGACAGTAAATTTCAGCACACTATATAAATTTTTCCTTACCAAGTTCCACTTACCAAAGGCGCTTCACTCCCCGGCAACGGCACCAGAAAAGAGTCTTGATGACCCGTAAGTGTAGGGGGTCTATCGTAGTCCTTTCGATAAGTAAGAGTGTCGAACCCAATGAGGAGCAGAAGAAAATGAAAAGTGGTTTTCAGTAAGGTATTCTCTGCAAGCACTGAAATTATCGGTAACAGATAGTTTTGTGATAAGGTAATTCATAACGGGTAACAAGCAATGAAAGTAAATAAAGTGCAACAAGATGGCCCAATCCTTTTTGTGACAAAGTACAAGCCTTGACAAGTTCTTATATAGATAAAAGCGCTCCCGAGGACACATGGGAATTATCGTCAAGCTAGTTTTCATCACGCTCATATGATTCACGTTCGTTATTTTGATAATTTGATATGTGGGTGGACCGGTGCTTGGGTACTGCCCTTTCTTGGACAAGCATCCCACTTATGATTAACCCCTAATGCAAGCATCCGCAATTACAAAATAATGTTTAAGGTAAACCTAACCATAGCATGAAACATATGGATCCAAATCAGCCCCTTACGAAGCAACGCATAAACTAGGGTTTAAGCTTCTGTCACTCTAGCAATCCATCATGTACTTATTACTTCCCAGTGCCTTCCTCTAGGCCCAAACAATGGTGAAGTGTCATGTAGTCGACGTTCACATAACACCACTAGAGGAGAGACAACATACATCTCATCAAAATATGGAACGAATACCAAATTCACATGACTACTTATAGCAAGACATCTCCCATGTCCTTAGGAACAAACGTAACTACTCACAAATCATATTCATGTTCATAATTAGAGGGGTATTAATATGCATATAGGATCTGAACATATGATCTTCCACCGAATAAACCAACTAGCATCAACTACAAGGAGTAATCAACACTACTAGTGACCCACAGGTACCAATCTGAGGTTTTGAGACAAAGATTGGATACAAGAGATGAACTAGGGTTTGAGAGGAGATGGTGCTGGTGAAGATGTTGATGGAGATTGACCCCCTCCCGATGAGAGGATCGATGATGATGATGATGGTGATGATTTCCCCCCTCCCGGAGGGATGTTTCCTCGACAGAAAAGCTCCGCTGGAGCCCTAGATTGGTTCTGCCAAGGTTCCGCCTCGTGGCGGCGGTGTTTCGTCCCAAAAGCTTGCTTATGATTTTTTTCAGGGTAAAAGACTTCATATAGTAGAATATGGTCACCGGAGGCCTGCCAGGGGGGCCACGAGGCAGGGGGCGCGCCCTGGGGGGTAGGGCGCGCCCCCACCCTCATGGACGGTGGGTGGCCCCCCTCTGGTATTTTCTTCCGCTTAGTATTTTTTATTAATTCCAAAAATGACTTTCGTGGAGTTTCAGGACTTTTGGAGTTGTGCGGAACAGGTCTCTAATATTTGCTCCTTTTCCAACCCAGAATCTCAGCTGCCGGCATTCTCCCTCTTAATGCAAACCTTGTAAAATAAGAGAGAATAGTCATAAGTATTGTGATATAACGTGTAATAACATCCCATAATGCAATAAATATCGATATAAAAGCATGATGCAAAATGGACGTATCACACCTTCAGCGATCGGTGAGCACACCAAGCAGTAGTCCACCTCCACTTCTCCGCCACACTACTCTACTGTAGTCTGCACCTCCGGTGACCGACAAGCGCACCACGAGTCATTTGTTTGTAAGTTCTTCCTTCACTTCGAATTATCTTCTTATATGTTAAGAAATTCCAATTTCGTTTCTCTTAGAAAAACCTTGTTTTGCCACTCGTTAGGTCTCAAGTCTGGTAATGGTAAGCAGATAAATTTGTCAAGAAGTGACAGTCCGCTAGTCAAAATATCGGGAATGATTCAAAACTCTCTAGTTAAAAGGGGTTAGTTTTGTTTTCCGAAATGGAGCCAAAAGATTTGTATCATATATTAATTAAGGGAGAATAGATTTTGTTACCTTGGAACGCCACATGAAAGACTACTCACGTAATACAATAGACCCTACTTTCTTCGCACCTGTGGTGATCCACAAGTTTGCCTCGGCCATGATGATGTTGAGAAGGATTAGCGGATGGGCGCTCTTGTGACGATATACCCGGATGTTTCCTTGTCCAAGACACTAGCATGGTAAGCCAAGACATGGCGTTAGTGATCTTTGAAGAAAACTAGTTTTACAATTGATGAAGTTAGCATTCATTTTGCTATTGCTGACAACAACAGTTGAGAGAGTTTTTTTCTGCAATCAATTTTATCAAGTATGATTTGGGTTATAGAATAGGTGATGGGCTCTTGTATCATTTTCTCATGACCAATGTTAAAACAGATGTATTCCAGTTTATTAGTACCGATGGTTATATGCATATAACAAAATATGCATGTTTGCAAACGGCTGCTACCATAAATATGTTTGTAATAAAGTATGGTCATTTATGTTTCCATTTAATTTGTCTACAATTTTCTTCATTTATAAAGCTTGACATCACAAGGTTTGTATCCTGATACTGCCACGTGCGTGTGAGCTTTTAACGGTCAACATGCCACGTGGCCCTGGCGGGGGGCCATATATGTCACAATCGTTCTTAATTTGAGCACAATCGATCATTAAACAGGAGTGATGTTTTTTGCAAAAATTAGAGCTAAAGTGGTGTTTTCTGTCAAAGTTTGTAAAGTGGTAGTTTTTGTTGGTCGAATTTGTGGTAGTTTTTTGCTTTAGTAGTCCGCTAGGTCCAGATCAACACACCACCACTGTCCACTCCACCCCAACTCAATCACCAGCTGACCAGGCTGTTTCCCTCTCTTGGTCGCCGGTCGGTCTCTCCCAGTCCCCGGCCGTATACTCCTCGCTTTCTTCAGAACGGCTACTATACGCATATCCCCAGGCCCTGTGCACGCACGTAGAGACGAGACAGCGTCGCAACTTTCCAGGGGAGGATGCGTGCGCCGCCGCGCCTGACGGACCAAAGCGCGAAACCTGACGACACTGTCCACCATGCATGCATGCAACTTACCAGCACTTCCGGTGGCTCCATTCGATCAGGACCATCATCTAGTTAATTAAGACACTGCCGGCCCAGCTTTCGTGCAGACATCCGGCCATAATTAAAGGGTGGTAAAGAAGTCCATTAAGTAAGGCATCCGTCGTCGTTGCATGAGTGCATGCATGGGCACGGGTTAGCGACAGCGACCCTACAGACAGAGACATTGTCAAACCGGAAGCAGTTTTAAAATGGTTTTGGAATTTTTAATTTTGCAAAGTCCTGTAGATAGATTACCCACTCTACTGCCGGAAGGTAGACAGGAGTGCGGCAAACACTGGGACGGGTCGTAAAGCAACCGATGTATATATACCATCTGTTGTGATGTCTAGGGCTTCAAACCACTTCGCCTACTTAGCTACAGCTCCTGCCTCTTAGTCTATCTCTACACTTCCATCTGAGCTGAGCCTGAAGAGTGATCAAATTTAAGCAGTATTCTCTTAACCAAATCTCAGACAGGATGGGGAGCTCCAGCCGCTTTTCACTGGGCGCGGCTGTGATCCTGCTTCTGGTACTGGCTTCGGCCATGAAGGCTGGAGCCATCCGACTCGACGCGGAGACCCGGGCGTCAGTCAGCGGCCTCAGTAACCAAATGGCCACTGATGTAAGTGGTTCTGAACTTTTCATCACCTGTTGTCTGAATATCTGAACTTGATATGTTCAGATGCTAACAGTGCTTGTGTTCTTGAAAAATGCAGAAACCGATTGGGAAGAACAATGTCGTCGATGTGGTCAAGGGATCTGCTGGTTTGACAAGCGAGATGAAGAAGAGCGTGGACGTTGCCGCGAGTGAAGTTAGGGCGGTGGCGCATAAGATGCCGGAGTTCCATGAGGACTACTACGGCCCGAGTGATCACAGCCCAAGGCACCACTGATGGAGCAAATTCTTCTCTGTTTGCTTTGTTTGTGTTTCCTCTCTCGATGATCTCTTGTAAAACAGAGTATTTATAGCTAGGTAGACAGCGGCGGCTGTATAGGCTATTCATGTAAGCTCAAGCAGTGGGTACATGCATGGCAATAGATAGCGTCGATGTGCTAACATTCTTGGCAATACGAGGTTCAAATTTCAAGCAAGACGTGTATGAGATGTTGTGTACCTCTTGACCGATCAGTCCTCGCGTGGGCTTGCACCATTACAGATTTACAAAACTATCACGATATTGTCACCGACACTTGATGTAACCAATTGGTTGCATCGCAACATCTCACATCAACATCAGGTGCCACTATCACGATATTACGCCTAGATTTTCAGCAACCTGATGACAAGAGCCAATTTGTTGACAAGGAAGTGCGGAAGGCCTATATAGGGAAGTGCATCGATCGGTGCAGAGGCCAGGAGGGTTTTCAACATCTTTTCGTGGAAAATTAATAACTACGAACAAACAATGTAGTTGCAAGACTCCTTTTTTTCTTTGAAGCGAAGTTGCAAGACTCCTGGCACCTAGTTAGCGAGAGTACTTAGATAGAGAATTATTTGAAGTGCATGTACTACTGAGCATTTTTTCTCTCTAAAAAATGTACCAGTGATTAAACTGCCGGTGGTTGATTTGTGGGCAAAGCACATGCTAGTTCGGAGCCCATGCATACCAACCCCAAAGAGTGGAAGCCTTGCCGGATATGCTGCAGTGCTGTTGGCCAAGTCCTGCCGTACTTTACGTCCCGGGAGGACGGTGCACTAAATTATCCTAAAGCTACGTACAACCACTATTTCACACATGCTCAATGATAACTAGATGATTGATTGAGCTTAACCACCTTTTGCAAGGCAAGGATAAGTGTTGTCACTAAAGAATGCAGTACATGACGTTCTCAAGATAGTTAATGTGTGTAGGAAAGGTAGAGAGAGTCGACAACAAGGCAAAAAAGAAGAAGAGAAAATAGCATGGTAGTGTTCTTTTTCTCAAGACCCCTTCCTCTCCTGGTTCTTAACCATTAATTAGAAAGCAGGCTAATGTGGTACTCCTATATTCAGCAAGAAATAACATACTACAACCATGTTGTATATTGTGTGTGCTGTGCTCTCTGGTATATTTAGTTCAAACAAGACCTATATGATCACCAGGAAAACATATATAGAACATGTACAGAGCTAGAGCCACCATTCCGAGCACGTAAACGCTACATCCAATGCGTGTCCGCAGACTAGTCCAACATAACCGCCAGTCTGTTCTCTTCTCCCCGTAAACGCTTTCAGAAGAGGCAGCCTCTGTCAGTGCACCTATGCCGTTAGCTAGACTAGACAGACCGGCACCCAACCTTCTAGGACCGGGCAATGCGTGCGGCACATGGAACCAAACACAAGAACCTAAAGCTTCTTGTGCTTAGCAGTTAATTTAAAGTGTTGTAGTATTTAGTTAGGTACTAAGGAACAAACTAGTGGCTAAACAAATTGTTCATGGCCCAACTTTCGTGGAAACATCCTCCCATTTAGGGTGGCATGCAAGGACGGTCTCTATATATTCGAGTTAATTAGTTGCCGTGGTCCAGAGCCATTTGCACTAAGTAGTTGTTTAATTTGTATATGCTGTTGATAAAGCACTCCTGACAGACATTAGTGCAGCAAACACCGGGACGGGTTGCAAAGCTGAATGCATATATACCATCTCTCACGAGATTAGATGCATGCTTCAGTTCAAACGACTTCATTAGCCTAGCTAACCTCTCCTCTCTACACCCTCTTCTGAGCTGAAGACACACTGAAGTATACTCTCCATCTAGTCAATGACATTGATCTCTCACAAGATGAGGAGTTGCAGTTCCAGATACTTCACACTGGCTGCAGCTGTGATCTTGCTTCTGGTACTGATGGCGGCCACAGAGGCTGAAGCCATCCGGCTAGATGCAGAGGCGCGGGCATCACTCAGCAGCAGCGGTGGCAACTCAATGTCGCCAATGCAGAAAACGATTGGGACGAATGGTACCGAGGGATCTGCTGGCGCGACAAGCGAGACAAAGAGGAGCGTCCAATTTGCTGCAGATGAAGTTAGGGCGGTGGCGCATAAGTTGCCGGAGTTTCATGAGGACTACTACGGTCCAAGTGATCACATCCCTAGGCACCATTGATGGAGCAAATTCTTCTCTATTTCCTCTCTTGATTAATGATCTCTGTCTAGAACTGACTAGCTAGCTAGGTAGACACTGCGGCTGCACGCTGCCACCTGCCAGAATTACTTTGTAAAACTCATGTAAGCTCACACAATGGGCACATGACATAGAGTTGATGTGCTAACATTCTTGGCAATGCGATTTCAAACATATGTGAGTTATTGCCTGCCTCTTGATCGATCAATCTCGTGTGGGCTTGCACAATTACAGATCACGATTTTCATTAACCTGACGACAACCTGCAAATAGAACCACCAATTTGTTTGATCAGAAGACTGAAGACAGTCCTAATTATAACTTTTTCGACAAAGGATGCCTTTATTAACTCAAAATATAGCATCAAGTGAATAACAAACATGATGAGCGACACCTAGCCTCTGCATAGCAAGTCCTAGTTATAGCTAACAAGAAAGAACGATGTCGTAGTTGCAAGACTCTCCTCTCGCCTAGAGAGAGAGAGAGACAGAGAGACAGAGAGAGAGAGAGAGAGAGAGTGTTGTGGACTCGGACCCCATGCATACCAACCCCAACAGTGGAAGCGTTGCCGGATATGCTGCAGTGTTGTTGGCAAAGGACTGTTGTACTTTGCTATGTCCGGGCAGGACGGCTCACTAAAGCATTTCCTATACTGCATAGTATATTTTTTGACAAAGGGTATATTTTATTGGCTCAAAATGGTGCATAATATGTACACCCACTGTTTCTCACACATGCTCAATGATAACTGGATGATTGATGGGGCTAGTTAGCCACCTTTTGGAAGGCAAAGATAAGTGATGTAATTAAAGAATGCAGTACATCACCTGCAAAAAAAACAGTACATGACTTTCTCAAGATAGCAGTTTGTATAAAAAAGGCAGAGGGAGTTAAAGAGGAAATGGCGGAGGGTGAGGCCGAAGAAATTGGTTCATGCAGAATTTTTTTACGGGTAACTCGCATATGATCCCCCTTTGGAGCATCCCTAACCCCTATCCTATAACTTCCTAAATAAATATGTCCAATTTCTTTCATTCTTGAGCACACACATTTGAAACAAATGCTCCATATTTCATCAACAATATGAATGATTCGAATGCACCATATACAACAGTTCAACTACCAATATACATATCATTCATCCAGTCCAACAATTCAATTTAAGACATGCATATACTTCATCCAAAAGCCACCAAATTGACCAAGTTTATAAAAAAAACACAATATAGCGTGTCTTATGTTCTGGACCAACGCCTATCAAGTTCATACTACACCAAATCAAGCATTCCCATCGTATCACCACCGCCATCACCACGGCCACCACCATCACCACAGCCGCCACCATCACCACAAGGGCCATACATCGACTTGGCAAAAAGCCAATATTGCCTTGCCCATGTCATCCATCGTGCTCGGATCAATGATCATGATAGCACACTCTCCGGCCTTCTTCTATTTTGCAAGCCTGTCCTCCTTGAGTGCAATTGTGTCTCCTCCGCTTCCACCTTCCTTGCTTCGGCCGCCACCTTTTCTCTCCACTTCACATCCTCCATGAACATGACCTCGTTCCAGCTCGCCATCTTCTCTACCTTCCCTTCTGCTACCAATTCTTTGTTGGTATCGATCATAGCACAAAGCTCCTCTTTGTACACATCGACGCCTCCATTTTTCTTTCCCTCTTCTGCAATATTTTGCCCATCTGGCCTAGTGTGAGGATTTTCATCATGCTCGCCATCAGCATCAACTGATATGCTAATTATTGCCCTCTCTGAAGTGGTTTCGAAGTTTATCATTATCCCTTACCATGGCCAACTAACTCCTTGTACCAATGGTGCAACACAAATGGTTCACAACCACCCTTCTTGTTGTGTTCCTTGTATAGGTCTTGGATGATAGATCCATACTCGTTGATTGTCACCCCACTCCGTGGTGATGTTGACTTGATCAACACAACAAAACCATTGGTTGGATTGATCTTGGAACACACCCCATCGGTGGGAAATAGAACCTTGAGGGCCTGTTCGGTAGCTCTCCATGACCCAAAACTCCTTAACTCCTCAGCCCAAATCTAATAGCCAGCTTCTAGATCGAAAAGGTGGAGTTGATCGATCGTTCGATGAGCTGGCTTCTCGCACAGGTCCCTTACATTAGCATAAACCACCCTGAAAAACAAAATAAGATTGCAATCAGGCCCCTGACCGTCTTGCAACTGTCATCGATGTTGTCCTGCAGCTGTGGTCGCCTGCTGACCAGGGCGCCCGTCCCTTGAGCCACTGCGTCGCCGCTGTAACACCCGGATAATTAAGCTACAGTAATCCCTGCTAATGATGCCACGTCACCTCGGTTACCGTGATTAAACTCAAGTTGATTCGAACCCGGTTCAAATTCAATTGAAAACATAGGCAAACAATAAAAGTTTTCAAAAATTAAATCTAAAATGTTCGGGGGTTGTCAAATATTACAAAGTTAATTATGGTGGGGTGCACACATTTTTATAAAGTATCTAGATAGACTAAATAAAATAAAACAAAAAAAAATAAGAAAAGACAAAGAAAACAAAAATGGGAGAGGGGGAGAAAACCCCACTGGCCCAACTCGGCCAAGCCCCCACCTGGCCCAGCCGGCCACCCCATGGCCCGGCCCAACCCCCTCACTCCCTTATCCCCCCCCCCGGTCGGCAAGAAACCCTAGCCGCACCCATTCCCCCCCGATCCCCTCCTCCTCCCTCCCCGCGCCGATCCGGATCGGCACCGGCCGATCCCGTCGCCCCCCTCGTCG